TCGGACGCTTAACCGACTGCGCCACCCAGGCGCCCCCCCTCTCTCTCTCTCTCTTAAAATAAATAAATAAACTTAAGAAGAAAAAGTGCATGGAGAGAAGGAAAGGGGCTCAGTGTTAAGGCTGAGGTGGGCCCACAGGAGACCCTAGCCCAGGGGGTAGGAGGAGAAGACAGACGAAACTGACCAAGCAGCTTCCTGCTGGTGACCTTGGCTAGTTGGTGGCTACAGCTTGTCCGGCCTACAAAGTGGAAAGGCCCTCGGCCCAAGCTGCCGGCTGCTGCTGTCCCTGCCAGCCAGGAAGGGAGAGATTCTAGTCCTTGGAGATGCTACTTCTCACCCACCTGTGCCACAGCCAGGTCTGGGGCTCAGGGACAAGGTCACAGGGAGTGTGCTTACCTCGTGCCACCTGAGACAGATGCTGAATTGTCATCAAGGGAGTAGGAAAAGTCACAGTTGGGAAATAGTTCAGAGGATCAAGACAATGAAAAGGCTAGGCCAAAATGGGAAAATGAGTCAGGAAGCTGAAAGGCAGGAAATTGGGATGGGTCGAGGCAGGTGTTTTCAGGCTAAAACCATGACTAATGCAAGGTGTGGGAAGCCCGGTGTGCTGGGACGGCCTTGGGAGGAAGGGGCCGGCCTGGCGGCCTGGTGTGCGGGACTAGAACCCACAGCTTCTCAGGGTGACTATTGTCATGGCCCAGACCCTGTGTTTACCTATATTTGTCCGACTCCCTGCGACAGGGTCGGCTCCAGGCCTGGGTGAGGGCTGCTCCCTGCCATACATCGTCAACCTTGCAGAGTCTGTCAAGCACCCACTCTGCTCCAGCAAGGGGAAGCCTCCGAAAAACGTTCAAGACACGGGCCCTACCTTCCAGGTAGGTAATCTGGTTGGCACAGAAAGCTTATGCCCACTGGACAGAACTTGGAGAAAGACTTAGGCTGACCCTCACCTTGCTGCTCTCTCAGTAGCTAAATGACTATGGGGAAATCACTTCAGCTCCCTGCCTCTCCATCTTCCCATATTCTAAATGGGAATCACGAAAACGAGCTCCCAGTGTTGTGGTGGCATTCAGCCGAGCTGAAGTGGCTCAAGCGCCAGGCACAGCGCTTGGCCCATAGTAAGTGCTCACTGAACACCATTTCTTTCCCGGCAACAACGCGTGATTGCGGTGATAACCAGTTCCCTGTGGAGTTTCGAGCATTGGTTCTGCCGGTGGGTCTACTCAAAAGGCCTTGATGACAGCTGGGGCCCGATCGCCTGGATGGTGATGGGGAGCATACAGGGCATGGGAGGCGGAGGAAGGAGTGCGCACACATTCACGCGGACAAGCCAGTCCCTCCATCATCCTGCTCCTCTGCAATTGGCAGAAGCAGAAAATTCTTTATTTTCTATCTGTCTCATGTCTGTGATGGCAAAGACCCTGCCCTGTAACAGGAGTGTTTTTGTATCTCTAATAAGAATCCAAAGTTGAATCAGAAGTCAGGCTGTTAGTCCTGACTTGCGACAGGAGCATTATTCCCACTTGGGATGGAGGAGGCAGTGGGGGGGGGGGGGGGGGGGGGGGGGGGGGGGGGGGGGGGGGGGGCTCTGAGAAGTACCGGAAGTCACTTTAGGTTATAGGGCTGGTAAGGACTGGGGCCGTGATCCAGGGGAGCAGAGCCACCAGCACGCCCGCCCTGGACTGGATGTGAGCAAGAGTGAGCTTCTGTCTAACCCATGAAAATGTTGGGTCTCGCTGCTTTCGGCCCCCAGCCTACCGTAGCTAATTCATCTCACAACCCAATAAGCCAGGTTTAGAAGGGTGTGGTCCCCAGTTTAGTGACAAAAACAAAAAAACAAAACACAAAACACAGGCACACTTGTGGGAACCACAGACATGGTCCAGGCATTCCGTTCACTCAAGAGTGTCGAAGGAGGGTACAGCATCCCCAGCTGTCTGTACCTGTCCCTCATGAACCGAAGCCTTGAAGGAACCCCTGCGCCACACCCCCAGCACCTGGGCCAGTGCCTAAAGTATAGTAGGACTGAAGCAATATGTGTCAAATTAAAGAATGAATGAATACAAACACATGCACATAAATAACATATGCATCCCTACACACACATTTACAGGCAAATATGCCCAATGTATAAGTGCTGAAAACATTCAGTTATAGACAGCCATATACAATACAGATATTTAAATATACACACTCATGCACAGCACATGCTTGTGCCCACGTACACAAATCCAAATCCAAAATAAGAAACACACATAAACACATGTGCTATGCCCACACAGACATTATGGACAAACATATATGATCCAGGCACGCACGGATCTGCTCACCCCCATACACATGCACAGCAATGCCCAGACACCCTCCACCATGACCCTGGGCCCAGAAAGGAGTCTGTCAGCTCCATGAATCCTACCTAACATGCTGGAGCTCGTCAGAAAGTTCCTTGCGGCCCCCGCTTAGCTGGCGGATGACTGGCCGCTGGCTCTTGGACCTCCGGGCTTGGCCAGGCAGGGAGGCAATATCTCCGGCAGCCCTGCGTGGGTGGGCAGGCAGGCAATGGACACAGAGGTCACTGGGGTGAGAGCTGGGGCTGCCCTGGCCTCTCTGCTCCTGGCTGGAATGTGAGCAGTAGGGGCTGCCCCCCAGGCCTCTCCCCTCCCACAGTGCCCACCAGCCCCAGGCCCAGGCCAATCCCTGAATCCCGTCGGGTTCTTGCAGCCAGGGAGCTGTGCATGGAGAGTGGTGGGGTGATGAACGCTCAAGGACCATGGCAGGGCGCACACAAATGCACAGAGATGCACAGTCATACACAGAAGCCTGACCGGATATTTATCCACACGCAAAGACACAGGCAGGCATACAAATTCCCAATCCTACTGAAAGGCACATTCAGACACTTCCAAACACACCTGGAGACACAGAAGAAACACGTACACACACGTAATCACTCAGGCATGCAGAGATATGAGAGACCAGACCCACACACAAGCCGCATTCGGACATACATACGGCAGACATACGCACGCAGACCACATGGACCCAAAGCACATGTGGATCTCCACAGTCACGCACCAGTGCCCACGCGTGCACACACAGACGCACACAGATCCCTAGAGGCAGACCCCTGCTGAGTCGGAGATTTCCGTCTCCTGGGATCGGGAGGAAATGCTGCACTAGGCCACTCTCAAACCACATGTAGCGGCCTGAGAAAACTGCCTTCCCACAGGAGGAAACAGTGCTGGACCCTCAGCCAGGTGCCCGCAGCTGGGCTGCCCTACTGTCTGAGTGCCTGACCAGGAGGATGGTGCCTGGGGTGCAGAGACAGTTCTGGAGTCACGTGGCTTGCATTTTGTTTCCCTCAATTCCTCAAAAACACACGCGCACACTTTTCAAGAGTGCATGTACATGCGCGACGTATACCGGCAGGGGCACTCTGGGAACCTCAGTTTCTTCATCTTCAAAATGGGGTTAACAAGCCTTTCGCCCCCGGGGATTGTGGGGACGGCATAGGTGGCACTGTAAAAGGCCAGACCAAACTGCTGCCTTCCTAGGGGTCTGGAGTTGCAGTCTCTTCCGGGGCCGCGACAGTCAGGAGCCTCGCTGGCAAATGTTGCGCTCCACTACCTGGATGCCCGCACCCACGCCAGCCCAGAGGAGCGGGAGCGCAGCCGCCGGCCCCTCTCGGGGTCGGACCTGGGTGCCGCCTGGGTCACGGGCGTCCCGCGGGAAGCTGCGGGCTGGGCGGCGGCGGGGCGGGAGAGGCCGCCGCGGGGGCGCCCCTTCCGCGCACTGCGGGCCGGGCGCTCTCGGGTCCGCGCGGCCGCAGCGGCAGCCACCCGAGGGGGCCGCTCCCAGGCCTCGTCGACGGTGGGCGGGGCTGGCCTGTGGCCCCGCCCCTCTCACGGCCCTTGAAACCCAGTCGCCAACAGGCTGCAGTCCCAGAAGGGAGCTGCTGTCTGAGGAGGAGGCTGCCTCTCCACTGGCCTCCACGAGAGGCCCTGGGGTCGCGCTGGGCGCCCGAAGGGACCTCCCCAGGGACCCGCCTGCCCCACACCGCCCCGCCCCGCCCCGCCCGGCGCTCCGCATCAGGTGCCCCAGCCCCAGCCCTACCTGCGGACTTCAGGCTCCCGGGGCTTCCAGAGGATGCTCGGGCCACCTGCGGTGACCTCGCAGCAGCAGTGAGGTCCTCTCCTCCTGTGCCAGGGGCTCCCCCAGGGGGCCGAGCATGGTGGTTTTTCCTTGGAACCTCCTGGCTTGGGACGTCTGAGAAGATGCCTGCCATGAGGCTGTTCACTTGCTTCCTGCAGCTCCTGGCTGGGCTGGCACTGCCCGCTGTGCCCCCCCAGGTAAGACCTATCCCAGCCCCGGCCTGGCCCCCCCCCTTATCTTCCCAGCCGCCAGCACTGGGGGCAGGGGCTCTGAAATCACAGACCCACTCTGGGAGCGGCACCTCCATGGATGTCCACACACTTCCCAGGAGCCAGGCTGGACCACATCTTCTGGGAGAAGACCTCAGGCTGGGCTGTCCCAGACTCAAGCTCCGGGGTCTGTCTTGGCGGGGGCAGGGAAGCCACAGGGAAGGGAGGGAGGTTTCCTGTCTGGCCCCTGGAGCCCTGGTGGCTTTGCTAAAAGCATCTCTCCACTAATCCCAGGCGGGTCCCTGGCCTTGTGGTCAGGGTCGAGGCCCCATGACCAGGCAGGCGCCCCCAGGACCTCTGACCTGGCCTGGTGGAGGGGAAGCCAGCGGAACAGGCCATTGGTGGGGAGGCTGGGCCCTGCCCCCACCAGGGTTCTGGGTGAGCCCAGGGCTCCTGGGTGGGCTGAGGGTGAGACAAGAGGTCCTGCTGTGCCCTCTTTCCCGGGTGGGCAGTCAGAGTTCCTGAGTGCAGGGCCTGGGGAAGTGAACAGGGCCCTTTTCCCAGGAGCTGGGTGAGTCTGGCTGGGAGCCAGCTTGGGCAGTGAAATCCTGACAAAGCCAATGAGATCCCTTCCCACTGCACTGTCCTGCTGCCCCAGGAGTCCCCAGCCCCAACCCAGGAGCGGGTGGGCTGGGCAGTCGTGCAGGGGCGGAAGAGCCCCACTACCGGCCACTGCCTGCCTGCTGCGGGGCTGGCCAGAGGTGTAACGTTACCGGCAGCACCAGCTCATGGCGCCACCCGCTCCAGCCCCTCGGCTCCCACCAGCTGATCACCTCCTCCCTCCCCCCACCCCCACCCCGGGGTTTTGGCACCCAGCCAAGGCGGGCTGCACAGGGCCCAGCAGGGCTGGACTGGGGCTGGGGAGAAGGGAGACCCCTAAGGGTTGCAGGATCTTTGAGACATAGAAGGCAAGGGTCTGCAAAAGCCCGTAGCCTTCCACCCTATCCAAATGAGGAAACTGAGGCCAGAGAAAAGGGTGGGATCCACACAGGGTCCAGTGAGATCTTAGTTGCACTGGGAAAGAGGCGGCTCTGAGATAGGGCAGAGCGTGTGCAGCGGGTGGCAAGGAGCTCAGAGGGGCCTCTATGCTCTTGTCAATTCGGCCCCAGAGCACAGAAGCCCAAGGTGGACCCCCTCATCTCTGCCCTTTTCTGTCCACAGCAGTGGGCCTTGTCTGCTGGGAATGGCTCATCAGAGGTGGAAGGTAAGCACGCTGGGCTGGGGGTGCACATGCTCACCAAGCCCGCCCCTCCCAGTCCTCTGCAGAGGATACTAAGGCGCTGGCATGAAGGATGGGTACAAGCTGATATGAAGTTGGGGAGAGTCTGCAAGCTGGCTGACATCCTAGCTGACAAAGTGGGCAGGGCTTGAGAGATCCTCCTCTTGTGACCCAGGAGCCCAGGGAGGTGTGTACTCCTGGGCCAGGGTCACCCAGCACGCAGACAGTGAGGCTGGGGCCAGTATATCCAGGGTTTGTTCAGTTGGCTCAGAGCCCCTTCCCAATATAATGTAAGGAGGCAGATGGGGTCTTGGAGGGCAGTGTAGGCGGTGAGTGCCAGGAGCCATACTAGGGATCCAGGAGCTGGTTGCCGTGGGCAAGCCGTCAAGAGGATTAGGGAGGGGTGAGGGGACCTTCCCAGAAGCCCAGCCCTGGCAGAGCTGCAGGGATCTGACCAGGCCTTTCCATTGATTACAAACAGACAGAACATGAGTCGTGCCCTCCCTGGCCCCTCCGCCCCTCACCCCGGGGTTGCATCAAGAGGGAATGTTCAAAGGGTGTGTCGTTTGCCAAAGGGACATACGTGCAGAAGGCAGGAGGCCCATGCCAGGCCCCCTGTCTCGCTCCTCCCTCCCAGCTTCTCTGAGACGTGCGGCAAAGCCACACATCGCTACTGAGGCTTCCCCTCGTGCTGTGGGAGAGGGAGCGTGTAGGGACGTGCACACGCACACTCGTGGTAGCCTCTGAGAGCTGGGAACACCCTCCCCCTGGGCCCTGTCTGCCTGGTGGCCAGCCTCTCCTGGGCACCGAAAAGCTGGAGGGAGGTAGCAGCCCTTAACTTCACTGACACTCTCCCTGTCACCCTGCTGTGCCCGCTGGCTCTGGCACAATATTATTCTCTTGGGACTTGGGGAGGGACCCATCAGCCGTCTCCACCCCATGACCTTTTTGAGGCTTTTAGTGTATTTCAGCAACAGGTACCAAAGAAGTCTGAATTTCCTTTTCCTCGTCTGTAAAATAGGAACATTAGATTACATGATATCCGACGTTCTTTTTCCCAGCATGTGGGATTCTCTGACTCCCATGGAGGAGACACAGGAGTACATATCTCCCGTGGCCAGGGGTGAGGAGGCTTAGAAGTGACAGTTCATTAGGGCCACTGCCCTGTCATCCTATCAGCCTAATCAGCCAGGGAGCGTGGACTGTGGCCAGGTGAAACACCATGAGTTTTGGACCCCAGTTACCACAATCTGAAAATGCCATCCTCTCCTGCTAACATCAGACAAGAGACAGAAGGGTCTTTACTTTGCAACCGTAGACGTTGATTTTTGCTACTACTATTCATGGTACTAGTGTTGGGCAGTCCCTCTAATTCTGCGCTGGCCACAGGCTGTGAACTGGGAAGGCATTCATTTTCTCCCCATTTTATAGATGGAGAACCTGAGGCTCAGAGAGGTCCTTGGGGCCACCTAAAGCCTCAGACGCGCCCCCATAGATGTGGCAAAGTCAGGGTGCGTAGCATCGGCCTTCCCCGTGGCTCATGACCGTGCAGGCATGAGCAGCATGTCCCTTTCGGCAGGCTGGCTGTGTGCCCCGCCAGTGCCATGGAGAGGACACCTGCCGAACTCAGGCTGGTGGCTGGCGGCTCAGCCCAGATCTGTGGCCCCTCCCCAGGAGCTTGCTGTCGGGATTAAACACTTCCCTTCCTGTGTCTCCTCCATCCCAGGTCATAGGCAGATGGAACCAGATTGGAGGCTTGCCGCCAGGGCTGGCGAGAGATCGCTGAGAGCCCAGTTGCAGCCCTGGCCGCAGCCCCATGGAACCGCCCAGCCCTGGCCAGGTGACTGACCAAGCCACAGCCTCTAGTTCCTCTCACCCCCACCCTGCCTCTGGAGCAGGTCAGGGGGCCAGAGGAAGTGCTCGCAGGAGCAGCTGAGCAGAGCTCTTTCCTGAGGGGCTCAGCCCACATCTGGCAGTGGTCACCACACTCCTGGGGCCAGCCCCTCGCCCACCCCCCTCACATAGCCCCCTCTGTTTCTCCCGCGTGCCCAGACAGTGGCCTCCAGGGACGAACTGCCCTTTTTCCTGGTGGCTGCCAGGTAAACCAGACAAAGCCCGCCTCCTTCTTAGCCAACCCCCCCTCGCCCCCCGCCCCTTCCCCTACACAGTCTGGTCATGTGGCCCATGGAGCCTGGGTCCTGATGACGTAGTCTGCATGGTGAGGTGTGGGGGCGAGGAAAGGAAATCCCTTCTGCCGCCAAGGCCCGGGCAGCTCTGCTTAACCTGGCCGTGGCCCTGGCAGCCCGGCGGGGTGGGAGCCTGTTCGTAGAATGGTAGGGGGCTGAGGTGCCCCTTCCCTGCTGCTGTCCCCCTCCCTGATGGCCAGTGCCAGAGCAGGAGACTGAGCTGTCTGTGGCGCTTTGGCAGCCGGCTGTCCCTCTGCTGTTATTTATGTTGTCCACGGCGGAGGTGAAACATTCAGAGTTACATAGTGCTCGTGGATTTTAGACTAAACATGTGCTCATGGAGTTACAACAGGGGGGTGCTCCTCTGACCTTGCACTGCAAAGGCTGGCGCTTACAGGGAGAGGGGCTTATGTCCCACTTGTGTCCAGGGAGAGTATTCCTGTGGCTGGAGAGGTAGGATCAGGGCAGGCATCTGGGCCCCCTCCTATCCCCGGGCCCAGCCCCTAGTGCTCCCTAAGCAGACAGGGCAGAATGCAGCAGCAGACGCCCAGATAAGCACGGTTTATTGCCTCTGTGGCCGCCTTGGCCAGCTCCACGTGGACACACCGCCTCGGGTATTTTCCACCAGCTTGCAGCCTTTCCCGAGGGCCCCTGCTAGGGCTGAAGTTTATTTTTCCTCTGAGATTACCCTGAGACTCACGGCCTTCCAGGCTCAGTGGAATGGACTTCGGCCCCTTCTGCCTCCTAGGAAAGGCCATGGAAGGAAGTGAGGGGCTGCTAGGAGTGGCCGTTGCTCTAGGGCAGAGGCTGCAGGGTCCCCCAGGTGATCCAGCTTCCCTGTCCTTCCCCATCAGCTGAGGACAACCATCAGGTATAGGGCAGGATGACCCAGAGTTAGAGATGTTTCTCTGCCCACGGTCTCAAGGCTGGGCTGGGTTGCAAGCACAGAATCCCAAACCATGTGTCAGAGCCAAGAGAGACCTTAGCAACCATCTATTCCCAGCCTTCTTGTTTTTCCCCAGCTGAGGAAACTGATATACCCAGAAAGGTTAAGTGACCTCCCCCAGGTCACACAGCCAGTATAGGACCAGGACTAGAAGCCATATCTCCTAACTCTGGCTACTCACTTTCTGGGAGCCTCTGTTTGGGACCAGGCCCCAGGCCTTCGCCTGAAGGAGCATCTTTTGAGAGATTCCAGATGAGCCGACAAAAGATCCTGGTCACAACCACTAGGATGTGGTGGGGGTCAGGGATGTCCCTGATAATCCTCAGTGAACTGTCATCTAATCAATCAATAATTACCTAGCCTATTTTTACTGGGTGCTTGGGTCCCTGTCCTCATGGAGCCTCGACTTGGTTGTAAAGGAGATAAGAGCCACTAGTGGCCAAGATAAGGTAAAACCTCGGGGCCAAATTATGCTCAAAGGAGGAACATCTGTTCATACTGGGAAAGTTGGAGAAGGCTCCGGAGAGGAGGTGAGATAGTGGGCTTTATCTGGTTAGGAACAGGAAGGGGACAAAGAGCACATCCCGAAGGTGGGAATAATGGTGATACAGCCGAGCTTGATGTGAGGGCTGGTCCCACTGAAATGGAGAGTGATGTGGACAGGGCACGTTGCTGGCCGTGGCCTTGGCTGCCGAGTAGAGGAGCTGGCTCAGAGAGGGGCAGAAAATAAGGACTAAGGGGAGGCCAGCCCTCCCTGTGGGACTCTACAAGCCAGTCATGCAGAACTGACTGTTCTCTGCAAATTCCCCAAGATCGAGGAAGCAGTCGATCAGGCCTGAGAAAGGCCCAGAGGGCCTGAGGAGCCCCCAAGACACACGCTCCTCAAAGCTCCAGGGGCGCCACGGCAGATGTGGGTGCCTGCATTGAGAACAGAGCAGAGAGGCCAGACCCTGAGAAACTCCATTCCACTGTGGTTTCTGTCCGGCAGAGGAGCTAGGGGTCCAGCAGTCCTCCCAGAGGCATCATGTCGGGAGTTCAGAGCACAGAGCTCATACAGGCTGGGGGCTTCCTGGAGGAGGGAGTGCGGGCTGAACCTGGAAGGCCCTGCGCGGCTTGGGGAGCTGGCACTGGGCCTTTGAGGGGCAGGCTCCTCCTGACTTGACCCAGCTGTCTGTGCCTCCCTGTAGTGGTGCCCTTCCAGGAAGTGTGGGGCCGCAGCTACTGCCGGGCGCTAGAGAGGCTGGTGGACATCGTGTCGGAGTACCCCAGTGAGGTGCAGCACATGTTCAGCCCCTCCTGCATCTCCCTGCTGCGCTGCACCGGCTGCTGTGGTGATGAGAACCTGCACTGCGTGCCCGTAGAGACGGTCAATGTCACCATGCAGGTAGGGAGGGGAGGAGAGCAGGCCAAGGTCCCGGGACCGGAACTGACTCTGAGGCCCCGGCACTCCCCACCCCAGCACAGTGCTCCCCCCTTCACGAGCCCCGTCCCAGCTTGGAGCCCACTCCAAGGGCTCTAGCCTGGTCCTACCCCATGACCCAAGGACGTCTGGTGGAGCTTGGAAAGGAAACCTGTTCAGATGCAAGCAGTCCTCGTGTATACCAGGAGCATTCGGTGCCCTGAGCTTTGTGTGTGTGCACATGGGCATGCATACACACACACACACACACACACACACACACCCGTTGTTTATTAAGCACTTGCTAGTAAGGTCAAGCTAGGTGCTCCTAAATGTTACTTCTGTTACCTCAACACGTGATCCTTCAAGGCAAGTGTTATTTACATTTCACAGATGAAGCGCTTGAGGTTCAGAGCTGGCATTTCACTGGCTCAGCAGGTAGAAGAACCAAGACTGTATGTAGGTCGCTCTGACTCCACAGCAGAGTCCCCCTTCCTATACTATTGCCATGCTGGTGGCCCCGGGGAAGGAGGGACAGGGGCCTCCCTCAGATCCACATGCAGGTGGGAGGGCTGTTTGCCCCCGACTCAAAGCACAATGAGAGTATGTGATCCCAAGGCTGGTGGCAAACAAGGAGTCAGGTCCTGCTCCCGGGGGAAGGGTGGAGAGACTATTGGAAACCTAGGGGCCATCCTCCAATCCCGGCCTCAAACCTTTCTCTCCTGGAAGCTCCTGAAGATCCACTCTGAGGACCGGCCCTCCTACGTGGAGCTGACATTCTCTCAGCACGTCCGTTGCGAGTGCAGGTAGGTCCTCGGGGAGCGGCAGGGACAGGCCCTTCTCATTTGGGAGCCTCAGCCCAGTGGCTGCCCATCCCTCCCACGCTGTCTTCCTGGCTGAGGGAGACGAAGGAAATAAGGGACCAGTGGCAGCTGCCTTTTATGCTCCACATCAGCCAGTTTTGCCCGGGGAAGTGGTCCCATCAGCTGGAACACAGTTGCCTGAGAAGCCACAGGGGCAGAGGAAGCCAGGGTCCGTCCCAGCCTTGGAGGGGCTGGGGGTGCGCTCTCCCCCTCCCTGAGGTGGGAGGGGGCCGCCACAGCCCTGGAAGAGGTGCCTGGGGCTAAGACATTGCTGGCCTGGACTTAGTCCTAGGCCAGGCTGGCGCCCAGGGAAGGGGCGACTGGACTGAGGGGCACAGACAGGGATACGCTCTGGCAGGAGAAAAGTGGCAGAAAGAAGGAGTCAGTGGCTTCTTTAAAGCCAACCTCTGCCTGGCAGAGCCTCTAACCAGCAGTCTTGCTGCCTTTGCCCAGAGCACCCTGAACATTAGTTACCAGGAGCAGCAGACCTGGCACTTTAACCAGGCTCAGGGAGGAGAGACATGGGCTGGAACCCATTCTCCTGGTGCCCTGGGCCATACATAGATGGAGGCACCAGACTAGAGGTCCCGAGCCCTGCCCTGAGGCCAGAAGACAGGGGGAGAAGCACCGTTTATTGCGTGCACCTCTTTTGTGCCCCCCACTAGGCACTCGAATGTTTTCTCATTCATTCAACAAACATTTATTGAGTGCCTGCTGTATGCCAGGCACTGCCCTAGATGCTTGGGATACAGTGGTGAGCAAGACAGACAAGGTCCCTCCTCTCATAACAACCCTAGGAGGCAGGTACTATTGTCATCCCCATTTTACAAATGAGGTAAACCGAGGCTAGTCAGGGAACCCCAGCCTATATAATCCCTAAGCCTGCCATTTCTCATGCTGCCTCTCATGGCCATAACCACATTCTTCAGGAGCCCCACTGCTGCCCTGCCTCCTGTCCAGGACTCGGGCCGCCCCTTTTGGACCAGAGCCCAGGCTCCAGGCCCTCTTCACTCTACCTCTATTGGAGGCCCTGCTTCAATCCATTTCCTCCTTTCCGTCCTGGCCAGGGCTTAGCCATGTAACAATAGCTCAGTAATGAACCCTCCTGGGCACAGTGCCAGATGGTGACATTTCACCTTCTACGTCACCTCTGCCCTCACAGCCACTCTTTTGGGGCAGGCAGACCGAGGAGACGAAGGCTCACAGACCGTCTCTGACTGGCCCAAGATGGCAGAGACATGACCAGGCAGTCCCTGGTACCAAGATGCCCTGGGACCCTGCACTGGCTCCTAAGGACGACAGCCAGCCTAGGGCAGCATTGCCCCGGCCCCAAAGCCGACTGTTACCATACTGCCCACGCCCCCACCCCCGTTCCCAGGAAAGACGGAGGCCCTGTTCCCTTCCAATGGGTTGGGCAACAGGGACACCTTTCTTCTCACTTCTGGGCCAACAGCCACAGCCCTGGAGGCAGAACCAGGACATGCCTGGTGACTGTGGGGCTCGTGCTCACCTCCCTTCGCGTCACCCCCTCACGCACTCCCCCTGCTGTCGCCCGCAGTGTCATACATCCCCAGGGTGGGGGTGGCCATTGTGCCCCAACAGGCATCCTGAGCTGGTGGCTACCACCCTCCAGTCCATGGCTTTGCCCCTCATTCACTGTCCTTGCAGAAACTCCCAGCATGCACTCTGGGGGGAAGGGCAGGTACCAGGGAAGGAACTGAACAGAGAAAATCAGCAGAGAACAAACTCGCAAGTCCACAGACTTGATGCCAAGAGGCTGAGGAGTGCACAAGGCTGTGGGAAGGGGCCCCAGGAGGAGGTTCCTAATTCTAGTGGTGGGGTCACAGGAGCTTTGAGTGGAAGCTGAAGTCCAGAGGCCTCTGGCCATCCCTCCCTCACTGGCTCCATTCTGCCCCCTGGTGGTGTCAACACTAACCGCAGGACCAGGGCTGGATGTCTGAGAGGTGCCTGGGTGGTGGGGAGCCCCCTACTTACTGGTTTCCTGATTGTCCCTTGGTCTCTCTGTCTGTTTTCCCAGGCCTCTGCGGGAGAAGATGAAGCCAGAAAGGTAAGTGGCCTGGCTGGGGCTCCGGGCTATTCTCGGGCCTGCCAGCCTCTGTCCTAGCATGGGGGCCCCCAGCCACTTTGTCTTGACGCTTTTGGCTTATTGCAGGAGGAGACCCAAGGGCAGGGGGAAGAGGAAGAGAGAGAAGCAGAGACCCAGAGACTGCCACCTGTGAGTGCGCGGAGGGGGGGACCAGGGATGGCAAGGAGTCTGGGCCAGAGGGGGCCCCTGCCCTGCCAGCAGGGATCAGTGGTCGGGAAGGGGAAAGGCAAGGCCAGGGCAGTCTTGGGGCAGAACAGGCAAGTGTCTCCTAGGGAATCTAGGGCCCAGGAAGCATCAGGGGAACTTGGTTCTTCATCAGGCTTAGCCCTGAGTCTCTTCATGGCCTTTAGCGAGTCACGTGACCTCTCTGACCCTCATTTTCCTCTGTGTGTAGAAGGAGGGGAACATTCAGTCATTCTACACACATCTACCAAGCACTTACTGTGTTCCAGGTACTTCCATGAACAAACCAACATGATTCCTGCTCCTATAGTGCTTACATTCTAGTGAAAAATATTCTCACAACTGAAAACACATCTGGGGCTACTTCCTAGTGGCCCTGTGAAGACAGGGGTGCTGGGGATGCCGGTCTCCTGAATGTGTGCAGCCCTCGCTTCCCCCTTGGGCCCAGGCATGGACTTGGGGAAAGAGCTGGCAGTGTGGTCTGTGTGCACCGCCCCCACCCCCAGCCCCTGCCAGGCAGCCCCACGTAGAAAGTGTCCCGTTCCTCCATCTGCCAGGACAGTGGTCCTCAAACATCTCATTTGGGAATCTCCTGAGAGAATTTCAAAAGCCCACGTGCTCCCTCACTTCTTAAGTTGACATTGAACTTGAAAAATTAGAAGTTCATCAAAATTATAAATAGTTACATAGGATATCGTTTCTGGCATGTTATAACTATTAATGTTTTAATAAAGTCATTATATAATTCTTTGGGTACATCCTATAGAATCAGCCACCCTAAGAGTTCCCATCACGCACTTAAAAACAAATGTGAACGCTTTGCTTTAATAGTTGCATGTTTACGTTGCTTCTTTTTAACTTGAACCTGTGTTTCCATTCTACTTCCCCCACAGAATTTCAGCCCAATTTTTTTTGTTGTTTTTTGTTTTTTTAATGTTAATTTATTTTTGAGAGAGAGAGAGAAAGACAGAGTGTGAGCAGGGGAGGGGCAGAGAGAGAGGGAGACACAGAATCCGAAGAAGCAGGCTCCGGGCTCTGAGCTGTCAGCACAGAGCCCGACGCAGGGCTTGAACTCCCGGAGTGTGAGATCATGACCTGGGCCGAAGTCGGATGCTTAACCGACCGAGCCACCCAGGCGCCCCTAATTTAATATTTTTTTTAATGTTCAAAAGTCCATTATGTGTCCCCTTGTCACATTTATCTGCCATCACAATGGTGTATAAATTTGAATTGTTTTCATTTTCCTGTGAACAGAAAACTCTAAACTAAGTCCTTTCCTGGAATAAGTTATCACAGTAATTATTAGTAGTACCAGTTGATCAAAACAGCACAAATATGTCATATTTTAATAAATGTTAAACATAAAAGTATAATCAATCTTACAGGGAATGCATCTCAATGAGATGATGGTGGCTACCTCTTTTTAATTAGTTAATGAATCCACTAATGAATGTTACCTCCTGCCAGACTGAGACAGGATTCAGCATTAATTCCATTTTCATTTTTTAATAGAGGGAAAGGTTGAGAAACCATGCTCCCAGAAAGAAGTAAATGGGACTAGATGTCATACAATCATTTGAACTCCTTCCAAGTTATTTGCCAAAAGCCTCAAGGTGATCTGCTAACAAAAATTACTTCTCTTGGCTTATTAGCTGACAGTTCGGTTAAATTGTTCAATTTTGTTGAAAGCGAAGACTTGGAAACCACTTGACTTGCGAAAGCCTTGGTTACCTGGTCATTGGCCATATCTCCTTTTTCAGCACCTACATGGATATCTCAGGTTGTCCTTTTGGTCACTGTCCCCACCCCACTGGTTTTATCCTGGGGCAAAGTACTGAGCTGGATTTGGAAAGGACAAGATGCTTCTTTCCTTCCTAAAGGGAGCGGGGCAGTTGTGACCAAGGTGGTGGGGAAACAGACCTCAGGCAATTTCTCATGCAGTTTTCAGGCAGAGGACATGTGGAGGCTGAAAACTGATTCTCTTAACACCATCAATACTCACATACCCCTTGGACAATCTTCATGCACATCTAGGGTTGCCCGTACCCCTGTTAGAAGACTGTGGTCCTAGAGTAACCGGAGGCATTATTGCATGAAGCCAGGCTGGGTTCAAAGTTGGCTCTGTCACTGACTAGCTGTGTGACCTCGGGCAAGTTTCTTAACCTTTCTGAGCCTTAGTTGTTTTTTGTTTTTGTTTTGTCTTCTAAAGGGTAATGATAGCAGGGCCTTCCTCATGGGATGTTGTTAAAGGGCAATGAAAGAGGGCTTAGCACAGGGCTGGGCACGTGGGTAAGTGCTTGGTGAAGGGTGACTCCTAGCTTCTTGGCCTCGGTGCAAGCAGAGACCCAGGAGTGCTGCAATCTCCCTGTGCTCCCTGTCCAAGCTTTCCCTCCAGGCCTGTCCCCCCTCCCATAGGAGGGACCCTGCCCTCACAGGGTGCTGATACCCCCTTTCTGTGTTTGGTCTCTGGCAGGTGCGGCAATACTGTTCCCCGGAGGTAACCAGCCCCTCAGAAAACAGACAACCCCCACCCGGCTCCTGTATTTATTACCGTCACACTCTCAGTTACCTCCCTGCTGACACCTGCCCTCTATTTATTAGCCAATTGTATCCCTGCTGAATGATTTGCTTCCTCCAGGATGAGGGGCAGGGAGGGACAGGACCCTCAGGAATTCAGTGCCTTAAACAGAACGTGAGAGAAAGAAAGAAGGCAGCCACGGACCCATGTGTGTTTCAGCTGCGGGAGAAGCGCGCAGACGCGGCTTTGTGAAGGGCACGCCAGGGCCCGGCGGGCTTCCCGGGAGCAGGAGACGGAATGGGACCTGCCTCCTGTTCCGACCCTGGACCGTGTGGACCAACAGCGCTGGCTTTGGGAGCCCCTCGCCCCGGCAGGAGCGGAAGAGCCTGTTCTGTCGCCCGGGCCCAGGCTGGAGGGGAAGGCACGCCGGGGATGGAGGGGTCCTTCTGCGTCCTCCTCCTCCTCCTCCTCTGGGCAGCAGCTCCGCACCCTGGAGATCCGCCGTCCCCAGAGAACGATGCTTGCCTGGGGGCCTTTGCCACTCCTCGCGCCCTAGTCTGTCCTGACGTTTTGCACTGCTTCGTGCTGGGACATTGTTCTTTACGGTCAAGGCATCACCACCTGCCCCTCTCAGGGACACAAGCAAAGAGGCGGCCCTAGGCCGGACGTGGAGCAAGCCGCCCCTCGGTGGCTGTCCAGCTGCCAAGCCAGATTCTCTTGAATAAAGTATTCTAGTCTGGAGACAGCTTTCCCAGGGGAGTGTGTCTGCCGCAGCAGTGGGCCTCAACGGCAAAAACGTGGAAGCAGGACAGGAAGAGGGAGGCTGTGCTCAGGGCAGCCCTGGGGCCGGCTCCGGCCTCTCCTGCCGCACCCTGGAGTGTCTTCTCCCCTGCTGCTTCAGGCAAAACCCTGGGGTCCGCTCCTCCCGTCGCGATGGGTTCCCAAGATGGAATCTTGGCCTCAAAGTTGGGGGCCCTGGCCCCAGCCACCCCGAACACCCTCACATTCAAGAGCACACTCCCTTTCCCCTTCCCCCAGGGCCGTCCCACTCTCAGTCCGGTGCTGGCCCCCTGGCCCCTGAGGAATGGGGGTTCCCAGGCTTCTCCCAGCCCTTTGGGCCAGACGTCCCGGCTGCAGCATCCCAAACCTGCTTGGGCTGCTGGCGCGGGCGGGGATTCCCAGATGCTGCCCGATTTCTTCTTCCTTTTACCTCCCATCTTCCTCTGTCTTCTCCTGAACACCTTGGCATGAAATGAGAAAAATTTTCTTTTTTCTTTTTTCAGTCCAAACCACGTACTACCAGATTCCCACCTGCCCGCGACCTGCAAGGCCTGTGTGTGTTTGTTGTGTGGCGTTGTGGGAGGGGGAATTCCCCACTTCTGTCACTTGAGGCGGCTCAGGACAAAACCACAGGGACCCAGTGGGCAGGGGCCGGCCTCAGGCTTTGGAGGGAAGCCATGGACAGGGGTGGGGTGGGGTGGGGTGGAACAGCCCTGCTGAGGCAGCTGCCCTTGGCAGTGTGTTCCCTGAGGCCTGGGCCCCCCTGGAGGACAGTCTGGTCAGAATGTGCTTCTGGCATGGTCACGGGGAGGGAGGGGGCGTTGTGGGCCAGCCTCAGGGGACACACTTTACAGGAGAGATGCACTTCTCTCCTACTTCTCCACTCTTGGGCTGCAGCCATCCTGAGCCACTGCCTTTGACAGACTGGAAGCTCAGAAGAGCACCCCTTCCCCTCGGCCAGGCCTTTGGCTCCGAGCCAGGGACCCCCCACAGGGCCCCTCACATGGAGGTCAGCTTCCCCACCCCAGTGACCCCTGTAGAGAGCCAGAGACCAGGGAAGCTCCCAGAGGCCGGAAGTGAAAATCTGCATCCGGGGCGGGAGGCTCACAGCAGGAACGAATAGGAAAGGAAGTGGCTGGTCCATTTGACCATACCGGCAGCCCCATAGGTCTTAGAGGGCCCTCTTCATTTGCTCGTTACATGTTTGTAGAGCACCCCCCGTGCACCTGACACGGTCCGAGGCACCAAGGATTCAGTGGGGACTAACGTGCAAAGACCTGCTCTCGCGGAGCTTATATTTGAGGGGAGAGACCGACTGTATGTTGCAAGATATTGGATGGACTTTTCTGTTGCTCAAATTGATGACTAGACTCAGAACTAAGGAAAAAGGGGTCTTGAGTATGTCACACTCTAAAACGAAGAGAAACAATTTGGGGCTGGACACATCTCCTACAGGATTTACTATGAGATGACTGGTGGCCCCAAACACCACCCAGCACCCCCTTCCTCAGTCTTCACAAGCGGAGACCAGGGAAGGGGAGGGGGAGAGAGGGGGAGGCGAGGTCCCTGGAGACCTGCGTTGCCGACCCCTTCGCATCTTCTCCCCGGAGCTGGATTTGCTCTGTGCAGATTAGCCCACGTGCTATCTGGATGGCACCTGGGGGGAGTGGAGAACTGAAGGGTGACAGAGGAGAGAGAGGGGCATCCAGCAGGAATTTCCCAGGGGCCGGGGGGACATGGTGGGAGGCGAATGGCCCTGAGCTGCCTTGCACATGTTCTCCTGAGAGGAAAAGCTGCAGGTAAGGAGACCCCATGGGCTGTGGGCTGTGTGGGTGTGGGGTTGGGGCAAGCGCTGAGTAGGGGTGTCAGATATGGAGCTGGAAGGGGAACGCATCAGGGAACAGTGCTGTGGGGTGCCCTGCGGTGTGCCCCACAAGAGAGTTGGCCTCCAGATGCCCATCATGCCAAACGCATTCACCGCAGAGAAGACGCGGCCACAGCTAAGCATGCCTTTGCCCCAGTCACTCCTTCCTGACCGTGTGTAAAAGAGGAGAGAGGAGCTGTGGAGAGGGCAGGGCAGGTACAAGGGCAGACTGTGCCCATGACCTCCCCATTCCCTTGGGACAAATCCATACCCTGCCTGAGGGAGGAAAAACGAGTTGGTCTTAAATTGGATAGACCAGCCTAGATGGGGCTGGGCCTTTCCTAAATTAAAGTGACAGGAACATTGGAAGATTTCCCTGGGGCGCCTGGGTGACTCAGTCGGTTAAGCGTCTGACTCTTGGTTTTGGCTCAGGTCATGATCTCATGGTTTGTGGGTTTGAGCCCCTCACTGGGCCCCACGCTGACCACACAGAGCCTGGTTGGAATTCTCTTTCTCTCCCTCTCTCTCTCTC